CCGAGTCTGCCCTTGGGAAGCGCTGAGGGTGACGGCCAAAGCCCAGCAACCGCCCGAGCGTCCATCCATCGATGAATGAATGGGAAAGAAAATGAGGTCTATCCACACAACGGAATATTGTTTAGTTACTAAAGTGAATGAAATACGGATAGATGCTACTCCATAGGTGGGCCTTGATTTCATTATGTGCCCAGACAGTGTGGCACAGTGGGTTGGAGTGTTGTCCTGTACACCAAAAAAGGTTTTGGCTTCAGTCCTGGGTCAGGGCACATATACAGAAAGGAAAGATTCCCCCCCTCCCCCTCTCTCCCATTTTCCCTCCCTTTCCCTCTCTCCCTCTCAGAATAAACTCAGGCGAGGATATAAAAAAATAAAAATAAAGACGTTATGCTAAGTGAAATAAGCCAGACACAAAAGGACAAATATTGCCTGATTCCACTTATATGAAAAAGAACAGGCAAATCCATAGAGACAGAAAGTGGAATAGAGGTTGCCAGGGGCTGAAGGGAGGTGGAATTACTGCTGAATGGATACAGAGTTTCTTGTTGTTGTTGTTAATCCTCACCAGAGGATATTTTTCCTTTTTTTTTTTTTTTTTTTTTTTTTTTTTGAGAGAGAGAGTGGGAGGGGAAGAGACATAGAGAGAATAGAAAGAATCGGAGTGAGAGAGAGACATGTTCATTGGTTGTCTCCCACATGAATCCCAACCAGGACTGGGGATCGTGTCTGCAACTGAAGTACGTGCCCTTTGCCTGGAATCGAACCTGGGACCCTTCAGTCCACAGGCCGACGCTCTATCCACTAAGGCAAAGCGTTTCGTTTTGGAATGGTGAGAAAGTTCTGGCAATAGAACAATGCCACTGAAGTGTACACTCAGAAACGCCAACATGGTACATGTTAGGTTCTTATGTTTTACTACGGTAAATAAACAAACAAAGAAAATAAAACAGTGGAAAACCAATAGCACAAGCCGTCCTGCCTCCGACACTCCCTGTCCCAGAAAGGGAAGGGACATGCCGTTCCCCAAGGAAGCAGGACCAAGAGGAACAGCCAAGCTCCCCGCTCCCTGGGGGACCAGACCCAGGAATGCCTCTCTGCTGCCCGCTGCCTGCCATGATCCAGACTCCCGCAGGCCTGCACACACCGAGCGGTACACCTGCCTCCAGGGTGCACGCTCACCTCCCCCACTCTTTTTAAAAAAATATATTTTATTGAATTTTTACAGAGAGGAAGGGAGAGAGATAGAAACATCGATGAGAGTCATCGATCAGCTGACTCTTGCACGTCCCCTATTGGGGATGTGCCCACAACCCAGGTACATGCCCTTGACCGGAATCGAACCTGGGACCCTTCAGTCCGTAGGCCGACACTCTATCTACTGAGCCAAACCGGTTTTGGCTCCCCTCCCCTCTTGGAGGCAGCAGAAGGGGTCTTCCTGTCCCAGCAGAATATGCCCACCCCACATGCTTCCACACAGCGTGCCAGTATGTGAATCCCATGTACATCTCAGACAACACAGACATGGGCAGGCCAGGCCCTTTCCCAAAGCCACGATAGCACGCCCCTCCCCCCAAACTTTCCTTAAATAAGCCCATTCTTTGTAAAAATATATATTTTATTGATTTTTTTTACAGAGAGGAAGAGAGAGGGAGAGTTAGAAACATCAATGAGAGAGAAATATCAGCCACCTGCCTCCTGCACATCCCCTACCAGGGATGTACCCGTAACCAATGTACATGCCCTTGATCGGAATAGAACCTGGGACCTTTCAGTCCGCAGACCGATGCTCTACCACTGAGCCAAACCGGTTTCGGCTCTCATTGATGTTTCTAACTCTCTCTCTCTCTCTCTTCCTCTCTGTAAAAAAAAAAATAAATAAAATAAAAAAAAATCAATAAATAAAACATATTTTTAAAAAAACCTGTAAAAGATCACTAGACATGCCTTCGACCTCTCTGCAAAGATCCCACACAGCCGACACCTCTTCACTGGACGCCTGTGGGAGGGCAGGATGCCACTTATTCCGTCGGCTGCACCAGACTTAATAGGGTTCCCAGTCCTCTGGTAAGCAAGGGAGGTCACGTACTGGCAGGCCCAGGAACCATCGGATATTTTGGAGACCTTGAGAATTGACACAAATCTCTAGGGGGAAGTCTGATGGTAAGTTTTTGGCTTAGCTTCCTAGCCTTGAGAGGCTTTAAAAAGACTAATCTGAGCCTTCACTGGTTTGGCTCAGTGGATAGAGTGTTGGCCTGCGGACTGGAGGGTCCCGGGTTCGATTCAGGTCAAGGGATGTCACATGCCCTGGGTTGCGGGTTTGATCCCCAGTAGGGGGTGTGCAGGAGGCAGCCGATCGATGATTCTCTCTCATCATTGATGTTTCTATCTCCCTCTCCCTTCCTCTCTGAAATCAATAAAAATTAAAAATAAAATTAAAAAAAAATCTAATCTAAGATGCCCATAAAAAGTTCCACAAAGAACACTTTAAAAAACCTGGTTCCTAGACTGGTTTCATGGGTCCAGCACTACACCTGACAAGCTCAAGGGAGGCCTGCACGGCAGGCCTTACAAACTCAGAGACAGAAAGTAACCATGCAGGATGGTCCGAACAGAAAAATTCCCAACTGAAAGTGAGTCCTGGCGGGTAGCCAAGGCCCGCAGCTTCCTTGACAAAAGTCCAATCTTTATCTTGAGCAAGCCTGTCCACATTGGCTTTGTTTTTTGTTTTGTTTTTTTTTTGCCTTTAAGGTAACATATCTTTGAAGATTAGTTTAAGAAGATTACTCTTTAGGAGGCGCCTCAGGGCATAAGATGGGAAGTCCTCATCGTTATCTTGTTTCCCACACACCATCTCTAAGTGCTGTAAATATTAGTTATAGCTGTGCTGTAACCTCCAAGAGCTGAGTGTCTCTCAGGTTTACTTTAAAAAAAAATAGTTTATTGATTTTGAGAGAGTGAGAGAGAAACATTGATGTGAGAGTGCAACATTGATAAGCTGCCTCCTTCACATCCCCTACTGGGGACAGAGCCAGCAACCTGGGCATGTGCCCTTGACCAGGAGTCCGACCTCCCTGTGCTTGGGACGACCCCCAACCGACTGAGCCACACTGGCTGGGGCTCCGGTTTACTTTCTATCTAATCCCAGAGATTTCCCGCCCCCCCTGCTTTGCTTCCTCGGGCCCCCTGAACCCTCCCAACAGCCCTTCACCGGGAGCATTTTCTCAAGCCAGTGAGATGCTGCTTCCGGGCAATTGGCAAGTTTGGCTCAAAAAAAAAAAACTCATAAAAATTCTCTACAGCTTTGGACGCTTCTTATAGCAACATAAACCAGGCCAAATTTAATGACACGACTTATTTTGAAAAAAAGAATAATCACTCTGATCATCTTATTTAAAAACAAAAACCAAAAAAAAAGACTCTGGCTATCTTTGATCAAAAAGGAAAAAGTGACTGTAGAGATAAATTTCTCGATGGAGAAAAGGAACGCACCCTGACGAGACCAGTCCCGTTCACTGTCTTCAAGATTTTATCATCTACAGAGGAAGGACATGGGTTCTGCCATCTTACACACATTGTCAGCCTTTACCAAGTCATTTAAAAAAATATATAGATATTTTATTGAGTTTTTGCAGAGAAGAAGGGAGAGGGATAGAGAGCTAGAAACATCAACCAGCTGCCTCCCGCACACCCCCCTCCCGGGGATGTGTCCGCAACCAGGGTACATGCCCTTGACTGGACTCGAACCTGGGACCTTTCAGTCTACAAGCCGCCGCTGTATCCACTGAGCCAAACCAGCCATGGCTGATACATGTTTCTTGGAATGATGTTTCTCTCCCTTTCTCACCTTCCTCTCTCTCTAAAATACATAAATTGTTTTTTTTACATGCCGGATTGCTTGCACCATCTAGCAACTATTCTCTATTACCAAGTCCCCACAGATGGTTCAGCTGTTCCTTAAGGAACTTAAAAGATAACCAAACAGGCAATGGACCTTAATTCTTCCCTCCTTCAACGAGAACAGGATTTGATAAGGTCTCTCTCCTGGACCAAACCCTCCCTGAGCCTTCTCCTTAATTAGGCCTCCACCTTGGCCTATAAAGAGTTTCTAACAGCTCAAGACTGCCTCCATCCATCCCCAGGAGGACCCCATCCCTCCCTTAAGGGGCCTGCCTGTTCCAGCCAATAACTGAGGACACACCCGTCTCCCTGCCTCGGTGGGAGGGCGGGAACCTAACATCCCTAAGTGCCAGTGAGCATGCTAGTGAGTCAGGACGAGCAGCAGAGGGAAACGGAGACAGACGGATAGTTCAACGGCCGAGTGCCGCCATCTAGAAGAATCTATAGATGCCAAGCAGTTTCTAGACACCTAGTAAATCCCATCTCCCCTAAACCACTTAGGAGCCGATGGTTTGCACTTTGGGAACCAGCTTAAATGCCTGACGTAGGGAGACAGCAGGAATCCAATTAGTGCCATTGGCCAACCACACCCAAGGATAGCTGAGATTAAGGGAGTCAATCTCATTTTGGTCCATCAGCATAAAGCGGATTAATATTCTATTGAGACCCTCCCCTAAACGCCAGGCTATAAAACCCCTGAGGAGGGGCTGGCGCTGCAGTCGGTGGCGGCAGCGGTGGCGTGAGGACCTGGGGAGAGGCGATCTGTGGTGGTTTCCCTCCTGGGCGCAGCGGGCAACGCCCCCTGGACTCCTTGAGGGTCTTGGCTTTTTCTTTTTCTTTTCTTTTCTTTTCTTTTTTTTTTTTTTTTTTTTAAGGTTTTAAGCTTCTGGAGGACTGCCCCCTTCCTCCTCTCACCGCTCCCCTCTACTCCTTCAGGATCTGATTTTGTCCCCCCGCCCCCTTTTTTTTACCCCCCAGTCTTTCGGTGACTTGCTTGGGTCACCCCTCCGGCGTGTTTTTTTTTTTGTTTTTGTTTTTTCCCTGTGGTTTTTTTTTTTTTTTTTTTTTTAGCTTGTTTTCTCGGGGTTGTGTTGTGAGTGGCAATGGCGACCCGGGCAAATACAAACAGCGTGCCTCACTTTTACAGATCCGTGATCGAAGACGTTATCAATGAGGTGAGAGACATCTTTTTGGATGAAGGAGTCGACCAACACGTCCTGATGGAACTGAAAACCCTGTGGGAGGATAAACTAGCGCAGTCGAGGGCCGTGGATGGATTTCATTCGGAAGAGCAGCAGCTTTTACTGCGAGTTCAACAGCAGCGTCAAACCCAGCAACAGCGGCCTCACCATCACCACCACCACCACCTGCAAGCTCCACCGCAGCCCGCGGCCCCTCAGCAAGCGCCGTCCCGGCAGGTCCTCATTCCTGCACCGGGGCCAGCTGCCGCGCCACAAGCTACTGCTTCGGATTCTAAGCTGACAAAGCCCGTGAGTGCATCCAACATGAGTGCTGCTGCTACAGCTGCCATCTTAGCACTCCCTGCTGGTGTGACTCCCGTGCGACGCGTATTAACAAGCTCAGGCCAGCTTCTTCAAGTGATCAGAGCAGCCAACGGTGCCCAGTATATCGTTCTGCCGCAGCAGGCTAGACCACCCACCCAGCCTGGCAGAGTACAGCAGGCATTGGCCCCACTTCCTGGAGGGACTTCCCCACAGACAGCGGTCATCCTCCAGCCTCAGCAAATCGTATTTACGGGAAGTAAGGCTCAAGTTATCCCCACCACGGCGGCGGCTCCCACCCCAGCCCAAGCGCGGACAACTGCAGCTGGCCAACAGCCACCACGGGCCCACCCTGCCCAGCAACAGGCTCCCTCGGTGTTGCAAGTGGATGGAACTGGGGATACATCGTCTGAAGAAGATGGCGATGACGAGGAGGAGGAAGACAAACAAGGCGGAGCTCAAGGTGGGCAGGTCAAAGAGATGCCCCTCAACAGCGATGACGACGTGAGCGATGAGGAAGGAGAGAAACTCTTTGATACCGAACACGTGGTTGTGTGCCTCTACGATAAGATACACAGAAGTAAAAACAAGTGGAGATTTCATCTCAAGGATGGCATTATGAGTCTTCAGGGAAGAGATTATATATTTTCCAAAGCCTTTGGAGATGCAGAATGGTGAAGTGTTGGTATTCATATTATAAATAAAATGAAAGAAACTTTTAAAAAAAATTAAAAGGGACCGTTTGAAACTTGGGACGTACTCCAACCAAAACCTAACTTCTGCATGCCAGAAAAAGTGCCGTGGAAGCAAAGCTACCGGAACAAAGAGGCCTTGACAGCACAGACACTGCTTCTAACGGGCGAGCCATGGAACTGCAGCGCCTGGGGTTGCTGGGGAAATTGGGGTTTTGTATAGGAAAACCCTAATTGTCCATGTTAAATACAGGTGCCTGCCACTGGTCATTAGCATGTAAAGCTTTGTCTGTATTCCTTCCTCCACCTTGGGTTCAATCAGAAAACACTTGTTAGAATGAAATAAACTTTCCTTTTGATAGGCTGAAACGAAACTGCTTATTGTATGTGGTTCTATTTGGTGAAAATTGCTTGTGCGCTTTTTTTAAAAAAAATATATTTTATTTTTTACAGAGAGGAAGGGAGAGAGATAGAGAGCTAGAAACGTTGATGAGAGAGAAACATCGATCAGTTGCCTCTTGCACACCCCCTACTGGGGATGTGCCCGCAACCAAGGTACATGCCCTTTTGGCCGGAATCGAACCTGGGACCTTCCAGTCCGCAGACCGATGCTCTACCACTGAGCCAAACCGGTTTCGGCACGTGTGTGCTTTTTACAAGAGGGCAAAAATTATGGTGTTGAATTTTTTAAAAAATATATATTTTATTGATTTTTTACAGAGAGGAACGGATAGGGATAGAGTTAGAAACATTGATGAGAAAGATCAATCAGCTGCTTCCTGCACTGACCGTACTTAGGTGGACCCACCAAGAGCCAGGTCCCCTTTCCCGTAAGTGTCACGTGGACCAATTACAAAAAAAAAAAAAAATTCTGCTTTTTGTAATTTTTCACTTTCCTGACTCAAGCCCCATACCCTGACCCCCGAGCCACACCCCCCATCTTATTCTCCCTTTAAAAACACCCAGTTTCATCTAACCGGTGTGGCTCCGTGGCTGAGTATTGACTTATGAACCTGGTGATCAAAGATGGATTCCCGGACAAGGCACATGAGGGCAGGATCCCCAGTGGGCAGCATGCACGAGGTAGCCGATCAATGCTTCTCTCTCATCATTGACGTTTCTCTCTCTTTCTCCCTTTCCCTTTCTCTCTGAAATCAATAAAAATATATACAAAAAAAGACATCCAGTTTCCTCTGAGCATTTTATCCTTTGCCCTGGATAAAATTCGTCCTCACCGCCTGAGCTAGTGTGTCTGGCTGTGTTCATCTAGGACACTGTCCTTTCTCTGCACAGGACTCGCCCCTCAGAGCCCCGCTAGGAGTTGGGAGGCAAAGGCACTCAGGGCAGCTCAGTCCCAGGTAAAGGACACTGGTGTCCCTGGCTGGAAACCCCCAAAGTTAGCAGGCCAGGCCTGGGGCCACTTCCCTTTTTCCAGGCAAAGGACACGGGTGTCCTGGCTGGAAACCCCCAAAGTTAGCAGGCCAGGCCTGGGGCCACTTCCCTTTTCTCTCCAGTCTGGGGCTACTGTCATGGCCTCCTGGTGCTGGGGCAGCCTTTTCCTATGATTGATGCCCCAAGGCCTGCAAGAGGGAGCCTGTTGGGAACATCCCCGAGACCCCTGGGCCTGGGCCCTCACTATCCCGCTCCCAAGGTTAAGGATCCAGCTCCAAGGTCAAGGGTGACCCTCTCTCGGGGGAGTCAGGACCTGACTCTGCAATCAGGCACCAGGTCAGCGGCAGCCCTCCCCCCCCCCCCCCCCGAGTCTGGATCCCCACAGAAGTGGGAGACCACCCCCCCTAAGTCTGGATCCCCTCCCAAGTCTGGACACCCCCATCCCCAGGTCGGATCCTGCCCCACAGCACAGAGCTCCCTCTCCCTTCGTGAAGTCTGGCTCCCCTCCCCCAACTCCTGCCCTGAGACCCCCCCCAAACCCCCAAAGGTCGGATCCCTCCATCCGGGTCCGAACCCTCCACCCCTCCAACTGAATCCCCAACTCCACTCCAGAGACACCCGCTCCCCCCACCCGCTGCCCCCCACCCCAGGACCCCGGCCCGGGGGCACCAGGCGGGACCGGCCGCAGGGGGTCTGCCCGGGCGCCGGCCGCGCGCGCACTCACCTCACCCGGCGGCGCAGGCAGCGCGGCGGGCAGCCCGGCCCGAGGCCCCGCGGCGATGGCGGCGACGGCGGTGCTGGCGGCGCTGCGGGGCTTCTTCGGGCGCTTCCGGTGGCGGCCGCAGGCCCCGGCCTTGGCGGGCGGGGTGCGGGGCGCGGCGCGGAGCGCGGCAGGTAGGGCGGGTCCCCGGGGTGGCGGTGGCGGCCGGAGAGCCGGCGTCCTCCAGCTGCCGCCGGCGCCCTCGGACCCTGTGCAGACGGAGGAGCTGCGGGAAGCCCGCCCTGCAGCGGTGCCGCCGGGGCGCTCCCTCCCGCTTCCCAGCGTTAACTGTGGGCTCGGGAGGAGGACCGCCCAGCTCCTGAGGTTCCCAGGGGCCGTCCCCTCCTGCACAGCCCGGCGGCCACCCCCTCCCGGGGCCCTGGCGCCCCACCCAGCAGGTTCTCAGAACAGGCACCTGGGGAAGTCCAGGAGGGGTGCCAGGGAGCTGGGGGTGTCAGGGAGCTGGGGGTGCCAGGGAGCCGGGGGTGGGGGGCCCCCAGCTGCTCTGCAGGTGCCCTGGGCTGGGGAGGATTTGTGTTCAACTTCCTGAGCCACTAAGGGACACTGACCAAACCAGGACCGTGATCACAGACCCACACGTGCCACCAGGGCCTGAGCAGGGACCGGCTGCTCAGGAGGGTGTGAGTGTGTGAGTGAGTGTGCAAGGGCCTGGGCAGGGGCCCGGGGAGGGATCCTTCACAGACTTGGGGCTGTTGGAATCGAGTGGTGGGCCCTTGGCCAATGGGGAGCTGGAGAGCAAGGACTGACTCTGCATGTGTCACTGGGCAAACATGGACTTCGTGGCCTTGGGGAATCCGGGAGGCCAAGGAAAAGCTCTGTAAACAGGAGCTGCCCCAGGGTTCAGTTTGTTTTTGTTCTTTTAAAGGAGAGGGTCACGCCAGTGGCCTTGGGATGGAGTCTTTAGTTTCCAGTCAGGCAGGAGGCAGTGCACCAAGAATTCTGCCCCCTCGCACCCCTCCTCCCCCCTCCAGCTGTGGTGAGGAGCAGGTAGGGCCAACCCCCAACCAGGACACCTGGCCAGATGTTACACCTTCTCCTCCGTGTCAGCCTCGCGGCGTGTCTGAGAGGAGAAAGGTGCCTGCTGTGTCCCAGGCGTGTGGGGACGCGGTGATGTTTCCCCTGAACAGGAAGCAGCATGGCAGTGCTGCTGGTGTCCCCTGTCCCGAACAACTACTGCCAGGGTCTCCCCGAGGTAGTGCCCTGAGCTAGCGGGCACACCCGTGGGCCCCTTACCCCCCTCCCAGAGCTGCACGCTGTTCACTCAGCCTTGCCACACTTGCTGGACCCCTATGCCAGGCACCAAGGTCAGAGAGGAGCAGAAAATTAAAGGGCAATTTGCCAAAACCGGTTTGGCTCAGTGGATAGAGCGTCGTCTGCGGACTGAAAGGTCCCAGGTTCGATTCCGGTGAAGGGCATGTACCTGGGTTGCGGGCACATCCCCAGTAGGGGGTGTGCAGGAGGCAGCTGGTCAATGTTTCTAGCTCTCTATCCCTCTCTCTTCCTCTCTGTAGAAAGTCAATTTATATATATATATATATATATATATATATATATATATATATATATGTATATATGAAAATTAAAGGGCAATGGGCTCAGAACACCAAGGCCAGACAGACCTTCCCGGGCCAGCCCTGCCTGCTGTGCCTGGCCGAGGTGGGGAGGGCGAGGCTGTGAGGTTCATGGGTCGATGTAAGGCAGCCCAGGGCCTCTAGGGAACCCTGCAGGGTGGCTCCCACCCCATCCGCTCTGGGGTCCTTCTGGGTCAGTCCTCCCCAGCGAGCTATCGAAACCTTCCCCTGAGTGTAAAGGCAGACTTCTCTCACTTACCGAAGGCTCGCTCCACTGTGGCTTCTTCCAAGTGGTTATCAGGCTCAGAGGCTCCTGGGCGTGCACAGTGCGTGGGGAGAGCAAACCGCTAAAGATAAGCCCGTAATCCACATGGCCAGTTGCTCTTCCTGCCCTCTGCCTGGTAACTGGCCGGATAAAGTGGGGCGGGGGGCACCGGGCGGAGAGACTCAGCGGGGACCCTGCTGTGGTGGCAGGACGGACGAGCACCTGCAATGGAAGGTAGGGGTGTTCTACGGGGTAAAGCCTCCCCCTGCTACCCTCCGGCAGGCAGCTGGAGCGGCAGGCCTGGGCTCCTCATCAGAGGTAGCTTTTCTCCAACAGCAGTTGGTTTGGGGTCCTCTAGGCTCCTGTGGAAGCCGTCAGAGTGACTGACAGCAGGCGAAGACCCCGTCAGAATCCTTGAGTTGCATTTGGAATTGGGTCCCCCCTTTGGACCGGCTGTTTGAGCGGCGTTGTGGCTCCATTCGATGATCCCTAAGAACCTGTCGGTGCATCTCAGGTGCCCTCAGGTGCCTCCTGCTGGAGGGAACCTGCAGGACCCTGCTGCTTGGCAGGCACAGCGGCGGGTCCCCCTGGGCAGGCTGCCCGTAGGCCGTGGACTGAGGGCCTGGGCACAGCTCTGGGCGGCTGCTCCCCAGGCTTCCTCAGCTGCATGCAACCCGCCGTGTTCTTGAGGAGCTTAGTTCCCGGCCTGGGGCCCGTGGGGCATCTGCTGAGCTCAGGTCCCTGAGGGGCCCGGGACGCTGCGTGTTTTCTCCACAGCCAGGGAGGTTACGTGACTGCAGAAACAGCCGCACTCTCCTCACGGAGGGGAGGCCCAGGCTCGGAGGCTCCCTGGCCCTGGGTAGTCATCAGACCCACGGACTGATCATTGCCTATCATTTCTCCCTTCCTGCTGCTCTGGGCTCACATGGGCCATCAGAGTAACTGACAGCCGTTTAAGACCTCTTCAGAGGCTTTGATCCTGTGCCTGCGCGGGGTTTCCTCTGCCTGGGCCTGGGTTAGAGCTCTCACAGGCTGGCCACCCCTAAGGACACCCCTGTCCTCGCCTGCTCACTCCATTCCCCTTCTCCATGTCTTCTTTCCCGCTGTCTCTCTCTCTCTCTCTCTCTTTTTTGTTGATGCTTGGCATAAAGTTTTAATAGACAAAATTTTGTGATAAACCCAGCTGTCATTTTCTTGCCTAATAACAAAGACCAATTTTGCATTTATTTGGCTGTCTCTTGACTGCCTTCTCTGTCAGTAGTTTGCAGAAGAGGCGAGCAATCCTCTGTGCTGGGCGCGGGAGTGGGGCCTGTGTGCTGCCTCTGAGGTGACACCACAGTGAGCCCCAAAGGCATTTCAGGGAGGAGCCTGTATGTGCCCTTGGCCAGAATCGAACCCGGGACCCTTTGGTCCGCAGGCTGACACTCTGTCCACTGAGCCTGTGCCACTTTTAAAAAAATATATTTTATTGATTTTTTACAGAGAAGAAGGGAGAGAGAGAACTAGAAATGTCAATGAGAGAAACATCGACCGGTTGCCTCTTGCACACCCCCTACCGGGGATGTGCCCGCAACCAAGGTACATGCCCTTGACCGGAATCGAACCCAGGACCTTTCAGTCCGCAGACCGACGCTCTACCACTGAGCCAAACCGGTTTCGGCCAGCCTGTGCCACTTTTAACCAGGCAGGGCTGCTTGCCCTTTGGAAATGATGTATTACCTTCTGGGATTGGTGCCCCAGGATTGTCCTGCCCTTCCTTCTTATCCCGTTCCCTTCCTCCAGCAGGACGACCGGACTACGACCTCCTGGTGATTGGTGGGGGATCCGGCGGGCTGGCCTGTGCCAAGGAAGGTATGTGCCCTGTGCCCTGTGCCCTGCTGGTGTCACCGAGTCTCCAGTGCCCCCTGGAGTGGGTGGTGGTGTTCTCAGGGATGTGCCTTGAGAAGCCGTGAGCAGCATTCATTGTCTCCACAGCTGGCCTCCAGGATCCTATCACTCTGCCGGGATCACCCCAGCAATCTTGCCACTGTGCCCTGCTCCCCACTGTTCCTCTGTGGGTGACTGTGTTTTTACATAAAGATACTGGTCAGATCGTATTAGCGCCCACCCACATGACCTCCCTGTACCAGACCAGCCCTGGAAAGACCCTGTCTTCAAGGACATTCTGAGATTCTGGGGGTCAGCACGCCAATTTGGGAGGGACACAATGCAGCCGATAACCACCCTCAAAGTTTCCCCAAACCCCGGGAAGTCCTTCCTGACTCCCCCCCCCCCCCTCTCCGGTGTCCCCCGGCAAGCCCCCATCTGTGTTCTCTTCCTGTACATTAGTTTGCATTTTCTAAAATTGTGTGTAAGTGGAATCATGCTATATGTACTCCTTCCTGGCTTCTTTCACGTAGCAGGATTACTTTGAGATCCATCTATGTTTCTGTATATATATATCCACAGTCCATTCCCTTTTCTTGTTGATTAGCATTCTGTTCTATACATATCACATTTTGTTGGTTCATTCGCTTGTAAATGGATATTTGGCTTGTTTCTTGTTTGGGCTATCGTGAACAGTGCTGCTATGAACTGTGTGTGAGTGTGTGTGTGGGGGGATATATGTTTGTTTTTTTAAATATATTTTTATTGATTTCAGAGAGGGAAGGAGAGGGAGGGAATGAGGGAGGAAGGGGAAGAGAGAGAGGGAGAAACATCAACACATTGACAGCACTAGGCTTGCTGAGTGTCTGGGGGTGGGAGGCGAGGGGGGGGCTGGGCCCAGAGGAGGGTTCCTGCCTGTGGGCAGCACAGCTGGGTGGCGGCAGGCAGTGGGAGACCCAGGTGCAGAGCTGGTGGTGCCCCTGGCCCTCGTCCTTTCCCACCCTCTTCTGGGTCCCATAGGCTCCCGGGGTCCCAGCCCCAAAGCAGCTCCCAGTTGTGCCCACCTGCCCTCTCCTCTTGTCATTGCAGCCGCTCAGCTGGGAAAGAAGGTGGCCGTGGTAGACTATGTGGAACCGTCCCCGCGAGGTAGGCAGCCCCCAGCCGGAGCCACGTGTCCCGGGGAAGTGGGCAGGGAAGGGCAGTTCCTGGTACAGAGGGCAGCTAAGCCGCCAGGCACCCTGCTTGCCAGAGTCTCCAGAGAGGGCCCTGATTTCCCTGTAAACTGCCATTCCTTTAAAGATCCTTGTTCTTATGTAAGAACGACCCTGGCCCTGGCTGGTGTATCTCAGTGGTTAGAGCGTCGGCCTGCGCACTTAGGGTTGCAGGCCCGATTTCCGGTCAAGGGCACGTACCTGAGTGGCAGGTTCGAGCCCTGGCCCAGTCAGGATTAACAACAACAACAACAACAACAAAACCCCGTTAACAAAGGGCTCTGAAGGCGATCACACGGAGCAGAGCGGTAGGGCAGGGTCACCTGGGCCACGTGTGAGCTACAAACCACAACCTAAAGGCACGCCAAACCGGCGGAGCCGGAAAGCCCTCGCCGAATGGGAATCTGAATGTGCTCTCCCCACACACCAGGCACCCGGTGGGGCGTCGGCGGCACCTGTGTGAACGTCGGCTGCATCCCCAAGAAGCTGATGCACCACGCCGCGCTGCTGGGGGGCATGATCCGCGACGCCCCCCTCTACGGCTGGGGGGTGCCCCAGCAGGTCCCGCACGACTGGTGAGGAGCCGGCTGTTCTCAGTGCCTGCCTGCCTGCCTTCCTCCCTTCCTCCCTCCCTCCCTCCCTCCCTCCTTTCCTCCCTCCCTCCCTCCCTCCCTCCCTCCCTTCCTTCCTCCCTCCCTCCCTCCCTTCCTCCCTCCCTCCCTCCCTACCTCCCTCCCTCCCTTCCTTCCTCCCTCCCTCCCTCCCTTCCTCCCTCCCTCCCTCCCTCCCTTCCTCCCTCCCTTCCTCCCTCCCTCCCTCCCTCCCTTCCTCCCTCCCTCCCTCCCTCCCTCCCTCCTTCCCTCCGTTCCTCCCTCCCTCCTTCCCTCCCTCCCTCCTTCCCTTCCTCCTTCCCTCCCTCCCTTCCTCCCTTCCTCCCTCCCTCCCTCCCTCCCTCCCTCCCTCCCTCCCTCCCTCCTTTTCTCCCTCCCTCCTTCCCTTCCTTCCTAATTTTTATTTATTACCTAAAGTTTTTAAAAATATATATATATTTTATTGATTTTTTTACAGAGAAGAAGGGAGAGAGAGAGAGTTAGAAACATCAATGAGAGAGAGTCATCAATCAGCTGCCTCCTGCACACCTCCTACTGGGGATGTGCCCCCAACCATGCCTTTGACCGGAATCGAACCTGGGACCCTTCATTCCGCAGGCTGATGCTCTATCCACCGAGCCAAACCGGTTTTGGCTCTAATTTTTATTTTTTTATTAAAAAAAAAATATTATCTTAATTTGTAATTTTTAAAATTAAATTATTATATGTGTACAGACCTTACCATTGCCCCCCCTCTAATTTTTATTTATTGTCTAAAGTTTTACATATGTCTCCTTTTTCCCCAGTTGGCCCCCCCTCCCCCAGCCACTCCCGCCCCAAGCCAGTCCCCCCCTCCTGCCCCCGCCCAGTGCCTTTCTGCTACCCCCTCCCCTCCCCGCCAGGAGGCAGAGGGTTATTCCTCTGTTAACCTGCAGGGGGCCATGCTGTCCCCTGGGGCTTCTCATCCGGGCAGCCTTGGGCCCCAGACTCGGGGCAGTGTCTGGAGACTTTTTGGTTATCACCGGAGGGGTGGGGAGGGGAATGCTGCTACATCTACTGGGGAGCACCCTGGGATGCTGCTAACGGTCCTGCAGCACACAGGACGCCCCCATGTAGGATGACGTGACCCCAAAGGCCAGTGCTTCGGGGCGGACGCCGTTTTAGGCTTAGCGGGCGGCACCTGGTCCGCCGAGAGCCACGCACAGGCCCCTTGGTGGTTCTCGGTGGCTGAGACGCAGGGCCGCTGCCCCGTCCTGCTTCTGAGGACCAAAGCCCTATTTTCCATGAGGCTAAAGGCCCACAGCCCCGAACCTGGGACAGCGGTGGTGGCCATGGGGAGGGACGTCATGTTTGACCATGGTTAGAAACACCTGTTTCTTGGTGTTTCTGTTAACGCTCTATTTGCATCTAACAGTCCGTTTGGGACTCTGCAGCTGCCACTCCTGTGGTGGCTTTTAACGTTTCCTTTTGTGCATTTACAGGAGTAAAATGGCGGAAGCCGTTCAAAACTACGTGAAGTCGCTGAACTGGGGGCACCGGGTCCAGCTGCAGGAGAGGTACGGAGCCGCACCGCCCCTTGGCCTTCCCTGGGTCACCTCAGACCCCGGCCAGCCCCTGCTCATGGGGGCTCAGCAGCAAGGAGGTGGGAGTCCCTGCTCAGAGGGTGGAGCGTACAGATAAGCAGCTGGTAGGCGAGTGCCCTGCGGGGCAGCCCAGCAGAACCCGGGGCAGCAGAGTGTGAGGCTCACAGCGTATAAGGATCAGCAGGCGGCCCCTGTCCTGGCTCCCGGCTCCCTGGGCACGGGGTCGGGGCCTGGCCCGATGTGATCGCTCCAGCCTGAGCCCGGTGGGGCCATCAGCCCTCCGGGTCCCCCTCCCCGGATGCTGACGTTTCCTTCCGCCGCAGCAGCTCCCGTCCGTAGGGAGAGGTGCCTGACGCCGCGCTGACCCAGGCTGAGCTGTGCTCCTGTCCCGTCGTTCTGCCCTGGGCCGTGTGGGTCATGGAGGACACCTCAGAGGTCTGGCCCTCACCGGAGCACCCTTAGCTTGGTCCCAAGGGATCTTCCAGGCCGTGCCTGAGGCAGCTGTGTTGTACCCTGCTACCTAAGAAAGCTCAGCCACGCCGAAACCGGTTTGGCTCAGTGGATAGAGCGTCGGCTTGCGGACTGAAAGGTCCCGGGTTCGATTCCGGTCAAGGGCATGCGCCTTGGTTGCGGGCACATCCCTAGTAGGGGGTGTGCAGGAGGCAGCTGATGGATGATTCTCTCATTGATATTTCTAGCTCTCTACCCCTTTCTCTTCCTCTCTGTGAAAAATCAATAAAATATATTTAAAAAAAAGAAAAGAAAAAAAGAAAGCTGAGCCAGGAGGCTGCTACCCTGGCTTCCCCAGCGGCCCTGCAGGGAGCTAGGCCACATCGTGTCATTTCTTCCCCGAATGGTGTGCGCTGCTCCCCAGTGCAGTTTTCTGGAGGCATCGGGCTCTGCCATTCGTTCTGTCTGAGTGCAGGTGGGCACCCAACAGGCCGGGCACTGGGCTGGCTCCAGAGCTGCTCCCCAGAGGAGGCTGGGGCGGATCTGTGGATCTGTGTCCTGCAGCCCTTCATGGGCTGTGGGTAAGCGAGGACTCTGTAGGGGCTTCAGGTGAGACAGGAGGCACAGGGCTTGGCCTTGGGGAGAACGCCAGGTCAGGGTGGTGGGGACGGCTCCCCGGAGACGCCGGAGCCCACACCACAGCACAGCCTCCGTGATCAGAGAGGGCGGGGCGCTCTGTGCACCCTGCTCCCCCTGCCCTTGGGCTCCCGTCGGACCCATTTCCCCGTCTCCCTGTCCCTAAAGGTTGGGGTGCTGCCTGCCCTCTGGGCTCTCTTCCTTGCCCGCGGGAAGTTGGTGGTGGGGATGTTTGGGGGTAACTGGGTGCACGTGGGGGGTCTCTTCCTGGTGGGACGTGCCTGACCCCTAGGGGAGGCCGGGCTTCTACTCCCCGCTTCCCCCCTCCCCTTCGTGCTTCCCAGCGCTGTTCTCTCCGCTTCCCCGCCTGGACTGGGGGCGGAGAACGTGCCCTGGGGCCCGCGCTCACACTGTACCGGCCACACAGGGCTCCTCCCTGTGTAACCCCACCGGTGAGGCCGAATCTGCAAAGGAAATGTTTGAAAACTCTGTTTGTTTTGCAGGAAAGTCAGTTACTTTAACATGAAGGCCAGCTTTGTGGATGAGCACGTGGTCCGCGGTGTCACAAAAGGTGGGAAAGAGGTGAGTCCCGGCCGGGCTGGGGACCCAGGTGCTGTTCTCGGTCATCGGTGCTGCTGGGTGGACGGACGGACGGATGCCTCTGAGGCTGCTCGTCATTCTCTGTGAGGGATGAAGCGGATCCTGGGCGATTCGTGGGCCTCGTGGGGCGGCGTCTGAGGAGGCCGTGGGGCGGCCGATCGCACCCTGGGTTGGTGGGAACGAGACGCCCGCAGGGTGCTTTGTAAGCTATGACGGGCTTGGAGTTAGAACAACTCCCTGCCCTCTTCTGCCTGCCCCTGGACCCACACGGGCTCCCAGCTCTGCGGGGCCTCGGAGCTGCTGCCCGCAGGGTCCGCGGGGTCCGCAGGGCCGGGCAGGGGTTGCCTTAGAGGCGTGGGTCTCTGCCCGGGGTCTCTGCTGGCAGAGGCGTGGGTGCCCACAGTGTCTCTGTCTGACCCTGGGGCTCTCGGTTTCTCCTCAGACTCTGCTTTCGGCTAAGCACATTGTCATCGCTACCGGAGGGAGACCGAGGTACCCCACGGAGGTGAGTGCCCCCGAGCACAGCCTCGCCTGCCGCCTGCACGTCCATGGACTCTGGGCTCGTGTGATGTGCTGTCTACTGTGCTCACGCTCCCCAGCCCATCGGCTTCCTCTTCTTTAAAAAAGGGTTTTTTATGTACTTACTATCATTACTTTCTGTTTTCCAATTCTTTCTTGAATCCACTCTGCTGAGTCAGGCCACCAGGACCTGAACACTGCTGAATCCTAAGAGCCATTCTCAAGTCATTCTTTAAAAAAAAAAAAAAGTTTTTATTGATTATAGAGAGAGGAAGGGAGAGGCCTAGAGAGATGGAAACATCGATGAAAGAGAAACATCAATTGGCTGCCTCTTGCATGCCCCCTACTGGAAACCAGCTGCAATCTGGGATAGAACTAGGGGCCCTCCTGGTTCTTGGGTCGATGCTCAGGTCCTGAGCAGCACCGGCCTGGCTCGGGTCCTTCTCCAGCCGGCATCTGGGGACCGCCAGGCCTGTCCTCCTTTATCTCAGGGCCACTTGTTCTGTCTCCTTTGTTGGTTCTTCCCTTTCTCTTCAGCCTCAGAACATTGGAACATGCAGGACTTAAACCTTGTTCTTCCTCCCCCAAACCCAAATCTTTTTTTCCCCTAATTGACAAAATTTACATACCATAAAATGTACCCTTTTATTTTTAAAAAATATATATTCTTTATTGATTTTAGAGAGGAAGGGAGAAGGAGAGAAGGATAGAAACATCAATGATGAGAGATTCATTGATGGGCTGCCTCCTGCACACCCCCCACTAGGGATTAAGCCCTCAACCCAGGCATGTGCCCTTGGCTGGAATCGAACCTGGGTCCCTTCAGTCTGCAGGCTGACGCTCTATCCACTGAGCCAAGCTGGCTAGGGCTAAAATGTACCCTTTGAAAGGATACAATTCAGTGGCTGGTTCACGGAGTTGTGCAACCATCAATCACCACTACTTCATCCCAGAACATTCTCATCACCCAAAAAGGAATCCCTTAGCAGTCACTCCCCATTCCCTGCTTCCCCAGCCCCTGGCAACCACGGGCCTGCTTTGTGTGTCTGTGGATCTGCCTGTGCTGGACATGTCACATGCATGGAACCACACACAGCGTGGCCTTTGTGACCGGCTTCTGCACTTGGCGTGACATCTTCAGGGTTCATTCCTGGTGGAGCCTCTATCAGAACTTCATCTCCTTTTACGACGAGTAATGCCGCATTGCATGTGTACGTCATGTTTTGTTTACACCCTTGTCCACTGATGGCTATCTGGGCTGTTTCCACTTTGGGCTTTTACAGATCATGCTGCTGTGAACATCTGCGTAGGAGTTTCTTTGTGGGCTTAAGTTTTCACTTCTTTTGCAGATTATTATGGTCTCTGAACGCATAATAATCTGGCCATTCAGTGTGTGTATGTGTGTGTGTGTGTGTGTGTGTGTGTGTGTGTGTGAGGCCAGGTGCATGAATTCGTGCATGGGTGGGGTCCGGCCAGCCTGGCCAGGGGGATGGGACATGGGCAGTTGGCCGGCCTGCCGGCTGGTCGAACTCCTGGTCGAAGGGACAATTTGCATATTAGCCTTTTATTATATAGGATATACACTGAGTGGCCAGATTATTATGCGTTCAGAGACCATAATAATCTGGCCACTCCATGTATATACCTTGGAGTGGAGTTGCTGGGTCATATGAACTCTATGTTTAACCTCCTGAGGAATTGCCGGACTGTTTTCCAAAGCAGCTACCTTGGTTGCGGGCACATCCCCAGTAGAAAATTTTATATTCCTGCCAGCAGTGAGTAAAGGTCATGCTTTCTTGTTTCTTTGCTTGTCTCATAGTTTTTTGTTGATAATGTAATTTTTCATTCTTTAAAAAATATATATTTTTATTAATTTCAGAGAGGAAAGGAGAGGGAGAGATAGACACATCAATGATGAGAGATAATCATTGATTGGCTGTCTCCTGCACACTCCCTACTGGGGATTGAGCCTGCAACTTGGGCATGTGCCCTGACTGGGAATCAAACCGTGACCTCCTGGATCATAGGTCCACACTCAACCACTGAGCCACACCGGCTAGGCCATAGCAGGACTTTTCAAATTAAATAATACGTTAACTCTGGGGATCAGAGTCTCTTTCCACTGTAGGGTTTTGTGTATTGCTGTTGAATGATTTTTTTTTTTATGAACTGATTTTGTAAAGTCTTTATTCTTTGTTGTGTGAGGCCAGTGAATTCTCTGCTCAGTTAGCTTAGCGGTCAGCTAACGACAGAGATATCCTTAAAACACCTGGAACCAAGAAATCTCCCGTCTCATGCCGAAACCGGTTTGGCTCAATGGATAGAGCGTCAGCTTGGGGACTGAAGGGTCCCGGGTTCGATTCCGGTCAAGGGCATGTACCTTGGTTGCGGGCACATCCCCAGTAGGGGGTGTGCAAGAGACAGCTGGTCGATGACTCTCTCTCTTAGAAACATCGAACTCTCTATCTCTCTCCCTTCCTATCTGTACAAAATCAATAAAATATATTTAAAAAAAGAAAAAAAAGAAAGAAATCTCCCGTCTCTGCCGAGGGCCCCGTGGGCATTTTGAGGCAGACCCTTCGGCACTGAGCTCAGCCCTCACTTCCTGCTGGGCCAGGGGCTGAGAGCCCGGTGCCATCTCAGGCCTCTCCCGGGCATGTGCGCCGCCCAGTGCCAGCGCCTGGCCATCCAGATCCCAGGAACTCGTTGGGGCTTTCGAAAGCCCCAGTGGACGCCTCCGGCCCCAGCTTCTCCTTTTCCGCTCTTGGTTAAGGCTGCTGTTTTCGTCCGTTGTGATCCATCACGGGAGGCGGCCGTGATGCTCAGTCACTGGGCACACCCTCCCCGGGAGAGGCTTTCAGCGCGGGGCGGGCTCAGGGCAGGCCGAGGAAGAGCAGCTGATGGAGCGGGGCCTTCCAGGGAGCCCCCGGCCAGGCCTGCCAGCGGCTGCTCCCGGGGAAGGGCTTTGCACGGGCTCCGGCTCTGCTCTGCTCTCTCCGTGCTGTCTTTTCACGGCTGCCACGGAGCTGGGGGAGGGGGCTGGAGGAAGTTAATATTCCACAACACTTGCCGTTCTTACCAAGTTTCAGCCATTTTTCTTGACTTAACGGTTCCCGGCATTGCCACAAGCCGTCGGTTAACTTCCGGAGTTATATGAAAAAGTCGAATCTGACCGCTTTGGCCGGCTCTCTTGCTGTTTTCACGGAGGGGTGGGCCTTGGGGGTCCCTTTGTGCTGACGTCACCTCCTGGAGGCTTCTCTGTCCTCCCTGCCACCAGGAAGGCGAGCCGAGGAAGAGGCCCCAAGTGGGGTGAGGCAGAATGGGCAGCGGGAAGGGAGGACGGAGGGGTTTGGCTGAGCCACATCCTCGGGGGCGCTGGCCCGGCTCCACCCTGCTGGACCTCTGCTGGGCAGCTGCCCATGTCTACCCAGAGGGAGATGAGGCAGGAGCTGCGGGTTTTAGTCCTGGCTGTCCTGCTCTCGGACACCTCACCCGGGGTGCCCCTGCTGCCCACCCCCCTGGGTGCTTGCCAAGATTTGCTTGTGTTTCAGTCCCTTTGATTTCCAGAACTTTCGGTTTCCCTTCAGCAAACCCAAGAAATCCCTGACTTTATTTTTTTTGCCAGTTGGAATCATAAACTGTTTGAAATCCATTTCCTCTCCACCAGCACATTTTACTCCCATAGGCCTGAGGGAGTGCTCGCCTGGTGTCTTTTTAATTTTATTTATTTATTTATTTATTTATTTATTTATTTTAAGTAATCTAGAGGAAGAGAGAGGGACAGAGAGTTAGAAACATTGATGAGAGAGAAATATTGATGAGCTGCCTCCTGCACACCTTCTATTGGGGATGTGCCTGCAACCAAGGTACATGCCCTTGACCGGAATCGAACCTTGGGACCCTTCCGTCTGCAGGCCAATGCACTATCCACTGACCCAGACCGGATAGGGCTCGCCTGGTGTCTTTCCACTTGTTCGAGAGCCCCTCACCAGGCCCCGCTGGGATACAGGGGATCCATGTAGTTCTTGAGCAAGGCCACCCGTGCTTCCTCTCCAGGGTAGAGACCATTGGGCCTTCCCATCCAGCCTTCGGCCTGGTGCCCTTGGAGATGGCTTGCTCCCCCACCCCTACCTCGCTTCCCCCTCTCCTTCCCTCCCCTCCCCACAGCTCTGGGTCTGGAGGACATTGGGGGTCCCGGAGAGCAGAGAGGAAAGAGCTGCTGGCCGTGTCTGGCTCTCTGGTCCCTTGCACAGCCGAGGACAGGCAGTGCTTTCATGCTGGGCAGATGGCACACCGAGTTAGGTACAGACAGGTCACCGGTCCCTAGAGCCACAACCTGAAGAAGGCTGTGGAGTAGGAAAGGGCACCCACAAGTGGCCTGGGTGGGTCTGGTTGTGCTGTGTCTACAAAATGGGCATCCACTTGCCGAAAACGGTTTGGCTCAGTGGATAGAGCATCGGCCTGCGGACTGAAAGGTCCCGGGTTCCATTCCGGTCAAGGGTTGCAGGCACATCCCCAGTGGGGAGTGTGCAAGGGGCAGCTAATCGATGATTCTCATCGATGTTTCTAACTCTCTCTTCCTCTCTAAAAAAAAAAATCAATAAAAAATATATTTTTAAAAATGGGCGTCCCTGTTGAGGAAGCCCTTAGGACAGGTCCAGTGACACTCTCTCACATTGACCCTTTTTTCTGGATAGATTGAAGGTGCCCTGGAACATGGGATTACAAGCGATGACATCTTCTGGCTGAAGGAATCCCCTGGAAAAACGTAAGACGTGACGCATGCCTGAGTGGGGGACCCTTTGTTCACTTCTTAAACATCAGGGCCAAGTAGGCTATCATGTGGTCCACTCTCCGAGTGCATTGCTCCCATCTCCCTGAGAGGAGGACAGAAAGCCCATTATCTGTGCCCCTGAGAGGGGTTGTTGACACATCCTGTGACTTATCTTGGAAATGATGGCACACGTGTCACCAAGTGAATCGAATATTGTCTAGGGCCGTGGTCGGCACACTGCGGCTTGCGAGCCACTTGCGGCTCTTTGGCCCCCTGAGTGTGGCTCTTCCACAAAATACCATGGTCTGGGCGAGTCTAACTTGAAGAAGTGGCATTAGGAGAAGTTTAAGTTTAAAAAATTTGGCTCTCCAAAGAAATTTCAATCATTGTACTGCTGATATTTGGCTCTGTGGACTATGAGTTTGCCAACCACCGGTCTAGGGCAATAGTGTTCAAACAGGGTTCCTTGGAGCCCCAGGGTTCCAGTGGGTCCAGAGAGAGGAGCATTCAACAGGGAAAGAGGGTCAGGTCATCAGGAAAAGCCCTCAGCCCCTCTGGCCTCCAACTTTTCTACTTCCTCCTGGTTCGCACCGTGGACTTCCCTGAGATCTCTTAAAGCCTTAGAAACCACATCCCAGTCGTGGAAATGAGATCTGTGAAGCACGTGAGTGGTTTCATATTTCCCAAGCAGGTGAAAAGCACTAAGTTCATTTCCTGCCTCCACAGAGCTGTTCTAGTTCCATAGAGCTCCTGCCTGTAGGTTATGGAGGGAACTTCGTGCTCATTTCAACCAAAAGACCACCAGGGGGCGACAGAGGCTTGGCCGTGAGCAGCACCGGGCTGCCTTGGGACTTGCCTGCAAGGAAATGTGGGTGGAAAATGTGTCCAGAGGTGGACAGGCATGTGTGCACAAGCATACATGGGAGGCGTGTGTGTGTGTGTGTGTGTGTGTGTGTGTGTGTGTGTGTGTGTGTGTTGTGTGTGTGTGTTGTGTGTACATGGGGAGTGTGTGTGCATGTCACGTGCTCTGCTCACCATCATCATTCCCTGTTCACCAAGCATCTTCGTTCAGGGCAGAGGCTGGATTCCCTTGAATGGATATATTGTAGTTTATTTTATCTTTTCACTGTACTGGAGAACATTTCAGTAGTTTCTCTTTTTCATTGTTATACAGTGTTGCAATGGAAACCTTTGGCGTGTATCTTATATACCATCATAAATACCACTTTTTTTTTTTGGTTAACCCTCACCTGAGATTTTTAGAGAGAGTGGAAGAGAGGGGGAGAGGCAGAGAGAGAGACACACACATTGATTGGTTGCTTCCTCATGCACCCCCAACCAGAGCTGGAGATTGTGCCTGAAAACCAAAGTATGTGCCCTTGACCGGACTTGAACCTGGGACACTCTATTCACTGAGCCAAACCGGCCGGGGCATAAGTGCTTCTTATGTGTGACATATACCTGAGGGTGTTTTGGGAGCAGAAACCCTGGGTCCGAGGCAGATGCCCTTCACACCCTGACCCATCTGCTGACAAGCTCTCTCCTGGCGGGCTGCTCCCTGTTCTACGGGCACCGCTACCTGCTGCCTCCCTCCTCCTGTGGGCACCAGCTTTCCCACAGGCATACAAATTAAAGGAGCCTCTCCCGCCCCCATCAGGTGGGCACCAGTGGCTTCTGCCCAAGGCACGTCCGGGTCCCTCCCAGCATCTGCGCTCAAGCTCATGCAGATGTGTGTCCCTCGGTCCCTCACCTTCCACAAGCACCCCCATGCTGTGGCTTTCCTTTTGACTTAAAGGTAGTTTTTCATGCAGACATGTTTAATTTTTATGTTGCCGCATTTATTCCTTTTTTTTTTTTTCTCTTCATGCATAATTTCTGGGTTTCTGTTCTTTTATCTTGGACTCTCCAATAGGTTAAAACTGGTTTTATTTGCATTTGCTATTCTTAACGATCTTTTTTGTATATTTCTGGGCCATTTAAGTGCAGTATCTGCGTGTGAGTTTGTGTGTGAAGATGTGTGTGTGCCTGCGTGTGCGCGCGTGTGTGAATTGTTAGCTCGGTCCTCGGCCTGCTTTCTATCTGGTTTTCTTTTTCTCCTCTTATCTCTTATCTCCCAGCTGGTTTGCATATTAGGACTGTGATCCCTTGTCGTTTATGTTGCAGGCTTTCTCAGCTTGTCATGTCTTTTCACTCGAGCAATGTACAAATGTTTCTTTTAATGTAACTTAGATCTCTTTTTACACTTAATGGCTTTTAGATTTATTGCATGTTCAGGAAGGCCTTCCCTACCCCCACGATTGTTTTTTTTTTTTTTTCTCCCTTAAAAGAAAAAAAAAAAAAAGCTTCTGTATTTTCCCCTGCGGGCTTCCACCCGTCAGCTTTGCCTTTGTGTCGGGCATTTGCAGTTCATCTGCGGTGTGGGTGGGGTGGCGACCCGGCTGCTGGAGTCCAGTGTCGCTGGCCACTCAATCCCTCAGGCCAGTATGAAATCTTCATCTAGGAATTGAGTCCTGTCCTGCCCTGTGGCTCTCAACTCCAGCTTTTCCTGTGACATTGGCAAGAGTGCCTGCCTGGCATCGTCTTCAGAGGGGTAGGGTGGAAGGCCCGGGTGCAGTGGGTACCGGCGGTGATGGCATGTGGCGAGGTGGTCCCGGCTGGCACTGCTCGTCTGTGGCCACGTACTGGGGGCCGTGGTCCATTCGGCAAGGAAGACACGGCCCCCAGATACTTTGGTTGAGGAATGAAACTGTAGTGTTTATTTTCTTCGTTAAAAAAATTAGAAGATTTTTTTTTTTTTTAAACAAGCTCTTTCGTTTAGAAGGAATCTAGGTATGTTATTGTTTAAGAAAAAAAAAAAAAAGTGTTTGCAATGTATCAGTCACCCGTTTCGTTCTGAGCATGATTTATGTGAGGAAATGGTTTTTTTTTTTTTTTTTTGGTTTTTTTTTTAAATTAAGCTGGAGATATATCCCTGTACGATGCTTCTGTGAAAATGCGGCTTTTGTCCGGTGCTGTTAATGCAAGTTGTAACAGTGCGATAGGGGAGGCAGTGTTTACATGTTACATTCCTCCGCGCAGTCAAAATAAGCCCGCGGGGTCTACAGTAGCATTTCTGTATTTTATCAGCTTGGGCCGGGGCCGAGGGGGAGGCCTCCGCTCACACTTGGAGGGGCCGTTCCTGCCAGATTTATTTGCCTTATAAATATTCCCCGTGTTTATTTTAACTCGCCTTTAAAATGGAGCTGAAATTAATATGGGCCCGAGGGCTGCCCCCTGGCCCCAAGCGCCTCCTGTCACCGGCCGGGGCGTTCCTGCTCGGCCCCGTCCAGGAGGCCAGGCTGCTGGCCGAGCGTGCCCGGGCGCCCGGCCTCCTTCCGCAGCGGGCACTGCCCTCTGAACAGCTCCCCACGGCCTCCGGAGGCTTTGGGTGGCACGCTCGGCCCCAGCTTTCTCATGGACCTGCTGCACGTACAGGCCTCCCTCTCTCCTCTTCCTGTGACGGGGCCTGGGCAGCACGAGACCCTCTTTTTTTAAAAAAAATATGTTTTATTGATATTTATAGAGAAGAAGAGAGAGGGATAGAGAGTTAGAAACATCGATGAGAGAGAATCACCGGTCAGCTGCCGCTTGCACACCCCCTCCGGGGGATGTACCCGCAACCAAGGTACATGCCCTTGACCGGAATGGAACCCGGGACCTTTCAGCCCGCGGGCCGACGCTCCATCCACTGAGCCAAACCTGCTCCGGCAGCACGAGACCTCCTTGCATGGCGCCCGATGACCAGTGGCTTCCGATCTGGCACGTGGAGCCCATGGTGGGGCCTGCGGCTTCCAGCTTCCCGCGTTCCCTCCGCCACCTTTGTCGCTCTTTGTGGACCCCCCACAGCCACAGTGGTGTCCTAGCCTCCTTTGGGGACAGCTTCCCAAAGTGGCCGTTACCCTTTCGTCCTTTGCTTGTGTCCAGGTCTGAGGAGCCCAGGGCTCATAGATGGCAGCGGGGGTGGCCAAGCCTGCCAACACGCTCCCTACACAGCAGGGTACCTGGTTCGGGCCTCCCGGAGGTGACGCATCCCATGTAGAGGACGCCAGCAAGGGCAGCGTGAGTTCCCGAGTTCACGGGCAGGCCCTCCAGAGGCCAGGCGGGCTGGCCCAGCACGTGGCGAGGCCTGAGCCCGGCTGTGTAGGTTGGCATCTTCAGCTCTGCCGCCTGGACGCCAGCGCTGTGCCCGGCTTGTGTCCCTTTTCCATTATTCTTGTTTCTTTCTCTCTCTCTCTCTCTCTCTCTCTCTCTCTCTCTCTCTCTCTCAAAATATATTTTTATTGATTTCAGAGAGGAAGGAAAGAGGGAGAGAGAGATAGAAACATCAAGGATGAGAGAGGATCATTACAGGCTGCCTCCTGTAAGCCCCTTACTGGGGATCGAGCCTGCAACCCAGGCATGTGCCCTTGACCGGAATCGAACCTGGAACCCTTCAGTCCATAGGCTGATGCTCTCTACCCGCTGAACCAAACTGGTGAGGGCCTCATTTCTTTATTTTTGTGTGGAAACCCAGGATGGGCTGCAGATGCACAATGATTCCGGAAGGGCACGAGCCCTTTGGGGAGCAATGGGAAGGAGGGTAATGGCCACTTTGGGAAGCTGTCCCCAACTGGCGGAGGAAGTAGGGGCACAGAGCGGGTGTACAGCCCTGCCCCATCATTCAGCTGGGCAGCCCCCGGGCAGGTGGAGGGAACCTGGGAGGGGAGAGAGGGGCCCACGCCCCACAGCTCCTGGAAGGATGAGGGTCCTGGAGTATCTACCCCCAAGTGCCCCTGAGGCAGCCGGCTCCACCTCCCTCCCCGCCCCCAGGATGTTCGCTCGTCCACATGGAGGGCCATCTCCCCTCAGAGGCCTTCTGGCCCCAGGCGGCCTGGTTGGGACTTGGGCGCAGCCACCCAACCTGCTCAGGTCCAGGACCAGCCGGTCCCTGCGTGTTGCAGCTGTTTGTGTGCCTTCAGGGTAGGCAGTCAAGGTCACTGTATCAACCCCCTCGGCTTCCTGGCCCAGCTTGCTCAGCCCTGCTGCCTGGGGCTCGCTCCAGGCTTGAGGTCAGCTCTCTGCAGACCTGGCTCCGAGCGAGAGCTCTCGGCTGACGTCAGTGCCAGAACTTTCTCTGATGGCAAAGAGGACTCGAAGGAGACCGGAGCCACCTGGGGCGGCTCTTCTCCCACATGGGACCCACCAGGCAGCACAGAGTTTTCATGTCCAGACGGGACCCAGGATCCTGTGTTCCCACTGTCACTCGGCCGCCTAGGTCTCCTTGAGGGTGTGCAGAGGGAGGCGGCCCCAGCGAGCGTGAAGCCGGGAGCGTCTGTGCCGTGGGCTGCCTGTCAGAGTAGGTCATGGGAGGAGCTTTTGTGGGACACTTGTTGAGCTCAGAAGCTGATTAGGTACTGTAACCGCCTTTCTCTCTCTTCCTAAGAGCAAGAGAGAAGAATATAAATTTTATCATATTTTGTGAAGCACCACAGCCATTCATTTAGGAAAATCCGCTGCAGCTTCATTTTTCATCTTCCGCCTAACTGCCATGTTTGTTTAGCGTGAGTGTGATATCCTTACGTCCGGCAGAGGGAGGTGAGCCAGCAGCGTGGACCTGGCTACCCGCTGGAAAGCACCGCTGCCCGTCTCCCGGAGCATGCCCCTGTGACTGCGTCGTGGAGGGCTCAGGGGCTGAGGAGACACCTCCTTGGGGCGGCAGGAGTGGTGGGGCCAGAGCCTGAGGTGGCATCCGTCATGGGGCCAGAATGTAGAGAACCGGGCCCGGTGGAAGTGGGCCCAGCCACAGGCCCTGAGGGTGGGAGGGGGCTGGCCCACACGGGGGAGGAGGCCGTGGGTCCCCCGCCCTCCCTCTTCTCCGCCGTGCTGCCTCCCTAGGGCCTGTTTGGCATTTCCTGCGCTGGCAGGGCTGCCAAGGGGCCAGGTGCCTGCCGCGAGGCCCTCCCTTTGGGTGGGTATTCCCCTCGGGGAGCAGATCAGGGGCCTGCAGGCTCGAGAGGCAGGTGGAGAGCGCTTTAAGCCAGGGCTTCCCGGGCCCGCATTAAGGCTTTTGTTTCTGTTTCCCCCACATCCAGATCTCGAACAAGAAAGCCTGCCCTGTGATTAGGCTAATCCCGCGGTAGCTGTGCCTTCGTGTAAAATGTTTGCACACAGAAAGGCACAGAGAGAGAGAGAGTAGGACCGCTCAGGGAGCCAGGAAAATGGAGCCAGCACCTCTGCGTGCGGATGGCGACTTCCGGCGTGGGCTGTCGGCCTAGTCCCGGGCCGCCTCAGGCAGAGATGGGCAGGCTTCCAGCCCTCAGAGGCTCACTCCTCCCGCCCCAGGTGCAGCCAGCGGCCCCCCGCCCCGTGGCCGGCCAGGGCCAGCGTTGGCCATCGTGACGCTTAGTGACCAACACCCAGGCTCAGCCCCATCATCCTCAGGCCCCCCCACCCGGGCCCAGCATGTCCTCGGTGGCCAGCGGAAGCTGATCTGCAGTTTCAGACTTAACAGTAAAAAACGAGGCGGCGCCGAAACGGGTTTGGCTCAGTGGATAGAGCATCGGCCTGGGGACTGAAGGGTCTCGGGTTCGATTCTGGCCAAGGGCATGTACCGTGGTTGCAGTCACATTCCCAGTAGGGGGTGTGCAGGAGGCAGCTGATGGATGTTTCTCTCTCATCTTTCTATCCCTCTCTCTTCCTCTCTGTAAAAACTCAAAATATATTAAACAACAACAACAACAACAACAACAAAAAAATGAGGTGGCACTCCTGCCTCCTGGCACTCGCCCCGCTTGTGACCTGGAGGCTCCTCTGCGGCTCCGTCTCGTTCATACTTCAGTCCACTTGCAGGGGTTCCCTGGCTGAGTTCTCGGACCCTTCGTTCTTGAGAGGATAAGCATTGTTTGATACGCTGGGGTACCGCATGGAGTGAAAACCAAGATGGTTGGTCATCCTGCCTCCTGAAGGCAGGAAGAGGCCCGGAGCCGCCCCAAGCCCAATGGGGGTGCCTGCTCTGTGGGATTTCAGAGGACATCCCCTTCGGAAAGGCCTGCCTGGCTCCTGCCTCTTTCCAGACACGCCCCCTGTTGGCGACTCGGACCTGGCGGCCCTGGGGTTGGGGGCACCGTGACTCTGAGGTGGAAGTGGGAGGCCCAGCCGGCTAAGGGGCGTCTGTGGGAGGAGCAGGGGACTCAGCACCTGCCTGCCCTGCCTCTCCATCCGACTCCCCATCTATGGCGCAGGAGGGCAGGGAGGAATGTGGGGGCTGCAGAAGCGTAACATGTTTGCCCAAATCAGGAGACCCCATACGTAGCCGTGTTATATGCAACGAGGCGTGAGGGCTTGGAGCCATCCTGTAGGCCACGGCTGTGGACAGTCCACTCTGCAGAATGGCCCACTCTTTACAGAGACAGGAAGGCCCGGAGACAAGCAGGGACAGGCCGTTTGGAGGCAGAGGGGTTTCCCTGGGGGTCGGCACACGCCATCGCTGCCGCCGGAAGCAGGGAGCCAGGTGCACTCGCCGTGTGTTCAGCGTTGATGCCCCAGCTCAGCTTTGTTCTCGTGTTTGGAGCGAGGGTATCCCAAGTAGCTAACGTCTGTTCGTGTCATCATTTCATATCTTCAAGAAAGGCTCACTCCTCTCGCCATATAATCAAGTTCCCCTCCAAAAATAGTTAGATCTTTTGTTATTTTGAAAATGTGCCTGTGCTTAGACCTCTATGTGACACCCCACGGGTGCAGGAGTCCCCTCAGCTTCCCCATGCACCGAGCTCGCTGCGGTCCCCCAGGCCTGACTCCGTGGCTCCCTCCGGCTCCCGAGAGGAAGCCATGTGCCCGTTGCCTCTCACCGGGCACCTGCAGGAGTGTTCCTCGGGATCCGCCACTTCTTGAAACGGAATTATATCATTAGTACCGGGCGGGATTAGCGCTGACACCAGGCTTAGCCATCCTTACATCACCTCCTCTTGTTCAAAGGCTGGAGGAGCGATCTGACAAGCCCACCCACACACCGCCTCCCAGGCTGGGAGTTTTCCTCCTGCGTTCGGTTCCGTGCGTGTGTGCGTGTGTGAGCATGCGTGCAAGTGCGTATGTGTGAGCATGCCGGGCGTGGAGCTGAATGGCAGGAGAGCATGTATACGACTATGGCAGATACTTTAAAATGATTCGGCTGGGCCCCTGTGTCGTGTGTCTGCCTCTTCTCCCAGGTACCCTTCTCCTTTGCTCAGAGAAGCTGGCTTTCCAGGCCCTGGGCCTGTGTGATCTGGTTGGGGCTGGACGGGCAGGTGTCCGCCTTCTGGTCTGGTCTTCCCTGGTTAAGAGTGCTCTGCCTATAGACGATTGCTTTCCAGGTGCCCCCACCCCACTGCCATTCTGCCAAGTGTCCTTGTTGCCCCCCTGGCCGCAGGAGGTCCAGAGAGACCCCAAGGCAGAGCTTACCTGAGGGAGAAGGGAAAACCCTTCTGCTTCCTCGGACGGGGCTTTTCCCACCATGCCCCTGGGTCCGTGCGGGCCCCACTCCCAGGGCCTTTCACGGGACACGTGCTATTTTGTCACTGGCCACTCACATCCTTCAGCACCAGGCAATTCTCTGACCCAGTGACACTGTTTGCCATGCTGTATGTCACAGCGGCAGCATCTGGGAAGTGGGCTTTGTGCCTTGGGACGAGCTGTTTGCACACTCGGCCTCAGCGGACGCGCCCGCCGCCGTCACACGCCCGCTGCCTGAGTGCCCTGCACGGAGGCCGAGGGGCCCCCGTCCCCGCGGCAGAGCCCCCACGTGGAGCAGCTGCTTGTGCGTGAGTGACGGTGGGCCACGTGTGAGGCTCACGTCTGCTCTTCTCCTCTGTGTTCACCCCTCTAACAGGCTGGTGGTCGGAGGCAGCTGTATCCTTTGACGGCGTGCAGGTGACCAGGGGCCGCCCCGAGCCCTCCCCCGCCCTCCCTCTGCCCGAGAGTACACTCGCTGCCTGGAAGCAGGCACTTACAGGGCCGCTCAGAGAGGATGACCTGTACCCAGGAGACAGTTTCAGGCTGACCTTTGAGCCTAGGGCTTCCGGAGGCCGTTCCTGAGCCACACACGGAGCGGCTGGGGCGGCCGGGCCAGCTGGACGCAGCCGCGAGGCAGGTGATCCTCCCCGGAGGGCGGCCCCCCTCACTGAGGTCCCCTCCGTTAGCGGGAGCAGCAGCACCAGGGGGGTCAGGCGGGGAGCCACAGGAGGCCCCGGGGTCAGGAAGGGGGTCACTCTGGGAAGATGAAAGCGCTGCTGCCTTGTGTCTTTCACGGACGGGGTGTTTCCTCTCCGTCACCACCCGGGCCCCACAGAGCAGGCCTCATCCTAGAGGCTGAGGTGAGACTCCGGGGAGTCTGGGCCGGTGCCCCGTGGAGGCAGAAGCCGCCTGGCCCATGGGTGCTGCAGGGAGCCCCTCCCGTGTCCCGCACGGTTGAGAGATGGGGAGGGGCGCCCTGCGGCTGGTGTCGGGAGACTCCTCCGGGCCGGCCGGGGACCGGCGGGAAGGGGGCTGCTGGTGTCAGGCCCCGGGGACCTCGCCACTCGGCTCCCGACATCACAATGGGCTGGCGAGCCCTCCTTAGCTGGTCTCTGGCAGACGTGGCCCTGGAGTGCGCCGGCTTCCTCACCGGCCTCGGACTGGACACCACCGTCATGATACGCAGCATCCCGCTGCGGGGCTTCGACCAGGTACAGCCCAGGCCCCGCCCCCAGCCCGTGGCCCGCTCCTGCCGGCCCGTGGTCCGCTCCCACCAGCCTGTGGCTCCCGTCCAGGCAGGCGCAGGTGTGGGCTGGGAGCCTCTCGGTCTTTAGAAGCTGGCCCTTGAGTTGAATGAGGAGGTTGTTCATAAAACACACAACACCTGCCAGAGCAGAAGCAGGATCGTCACATAGAGCGTGTGGCAGCTCAGGGCACGCGGGGCCAGCCTCTCAGACCTCGGCAGGTGTGTGTCAGCAGAGGTGCGAGCCCCGCCTCCTCGCTGGAGTGTGATGGGGGTGCCCCCTCAGCCAGGGGAGCGCCAGGCAGGGAAGCAGGTGGCAGACTGGCGGCCACTTCAGAAGACAGAGCTCCTGGCCGCAGGACTGGCCGCCTGCCATAGACGGACAGACGGGACCCGTGAGCCCCGATGAGCACTCTGCTCCCAGCCGCGGGCCGTCACCTTGAGCACCTGGAGCGTCAGCACAGCCCCTGAGCCTCATCGCTCACATGTCCTGTTCAGGGGCAGCGCTGGCTGAGGGCACAGTGGGCCTGGGTGTCCTCTCCTGACCTGTGTGGCAGGCGCCGAGGGCCATCTCCCCTGTGCAGGTTGTCCTCACGAGTGTGTGGGACGCAGACACCCATGTGATGGCAGATGCCACCCACGTGAACAGCATGTTGAATGCTTTTGACTAAAAACTCTCCAAGGAAAGGCCACCTGTTAAAATCCAAGCGTGGGGTTGTTGTTACAATGGTAAACCCTCAGTGTCTCCCCAAAGACAAGACAGCCCCTCCTCACACGGTCCCACCGGCCCTCTGTCCGCCCTCCGCTCCCGGGCCTGCCCCGCCCCGCCTGGTGGGCCCACCATGTGCTATTTGCACTTCTGCTGCCACACTCATCTGTCACTTCCCTCAGCGCACAGGCCCCGAGTGCCTGCTGAGGGGACAGGCCTCTGAGCCCCGGGCTGAGGGGAGAATGTGCCAGGCAGCAGACAGGAGCCACGAGGAGGCCACATGGAGGAGGCAGGAGAGGCTGCGGGGACTGTGGGGACCAGGGCTGCGGGAGAGCTGGCCTTGGCACTGAATGGAGGCAGAAGCTGGGGACAATGGGAAGGGGAGCAGTTCCCCCCCGCAGCGAGGGGCCAATGCAGGGAAGGTGAAGAGGCTGGATCCGGCCCCCCGAGGGGCTGCAGTGAGCAAGGCCGGGCTGGAGGGCCCATTGGCAGATGAGTTCCCTGGAGGCATCGCAGCAGGGGAGGCAGTCTGATGCCGGGGCACAGTCGGATTCGTCCCACTTGGGGACAGTGGGATCACCCGAGGGAGGGAGGGAGGAAGGGAGCAGGCTCCAGGGGTGCCCTGGGGGAGGGACAGTGGCGAGGCCAGGTGACCGAAGCCGTGCTTCAGCAGGAAGCGTCAGTCAGAGCTCCGCACTGCAGCCCCAGCGGCAGGCCTGGGGACGGTGGACCTGCGCTGTAGCTCAGGGGGCCAGCAGTTCCCCTCAGACTGAGACAGGGATGTTCAGGCCGTCAGGAGTCCAGAGGGCTCCAGGAAGGGGAGGCAATCCCAGAGAAGCAGCGCTTCTCCTGGTGTCCCCATCCCTAAGTGAGCTGGTGCATCTGAGCAGACAACAGAGCGTTTAGAGTGACTTTTTACTTTCTCCCGTGGCTGACTGCGCCCTGTGCCGTGGTGACAGCCCACGGGGGCTCCAGAACTAGGCTCCCCGCCTGCAGCCGGAGAATGCGGGCTGGGAGGAAGGAGCCCTCTCTATAGATGACCCCCCCCCCCCACAGCAGCACCCACTATCCTGCATTTCTTGGTGGGGAACAGAGGGGCCCACCTCCTGTCCCATCTCCCTGCTCCAGGAGGGAGGGTGGGGAGCCCCAGGAGAAGGGTGCTGCTCTGTCATTTCTTTCAGTGCAGACGGTTAATTAGCATCTAAAGAAGAGCCCAGAGGTCAAGTGCATCCTGACATAAGGGCTCAGGGTTCTCTGGTGTAGAGGTGGGGGCTGGGGAAGGGGGTGCCCGGTGCTCTCCCGGCTCCACGGAGAACAAGGGGGCCCGGAGGTGGGGGCGGGCAGTCTGCATGGGGCCACGTAGAAGAAGGGGAGCGAGCCCCTGAACCTCCTCTTTGGAAGAGACCCCCTCTTACCCCCACCTCAGGGCCTTTGCAAGGAGGCAGGCAGCTCGGTCCTCTCTCTCCTCCTGCTCCGTCATCGGTGGCGGCATGTTCACGGCCGCCTGGTCCTCACGGCGTGTGCTCTGTGCTTCGCAGCAAATGTCAGCCCTGGTCACGGACTACATGGCCTCTCACGGGACCCGGTTTCTGAGGGGCTGCACCGTCGTGAGCGTGAAGCGGCTCCTGGACAGCCAGCTCCAGGTCACCTGGAAGGACCTCGCCTCTGGCCAGGAGGGCATGGACACCTTCAACACCGTCCTGTGGGCCGTAGGTAAGGTGTGTGAGCCGCGCGGGCGCGGGTGTGAGCGCCCCCGGGTGGGGAGCGTGGCGCCGCCTCCCCCTCCCGCCGCTCCCGGGGCTCCCTCACCCTGCTGGCTCTTAGGTGGGCTGGCGCTGCAGTGCACGCCTGGGGCCGTTGCAAAGACTCGGCCTTCCCGGCAGTCACACTGCAGATTTCCAAGGACAGCCCCCAGGGCCAGGACAGAGACCTGAGGCCTCTTCCGGCCAGGCACGGGCTGTGTTCTCATCCTCCATGCCAGTGCTCTGACAGGCCCTGGGGCAGCTGCTGGGAGGGCAGAGGCTGGGCAGGTGGGGCTGCTCAGAACTCGCCCTTTGCCCACCTTGTCGGGCACACTCCCAGTCGGGACCCTCCCTGCACCCCTAGGCCCCCCCTGGGGAGGAGGTGGGGAGTGTGGGGGTGGTGGGGGGAGATCCTTGCTCAGGGCCTGGACTCGGGAGGGGAATGGGCTTTGAGGAAAGGCCTGGAGCTCAGTGGGAGGACAGGGACCCAGGCACCACGCCCTGGGAGCCTGGTCTCTGCTGGGACGCTCCTGCTGTGGCTTCTGGGGGTTCGGGTTGTTTTCCTCATCGCCCCCCCCCCCCCCCCCCCCAGCGTATGTGTTGCATCGAGGTCTTGCTCGCTCTTGAGGTGTTCAGCGTGAGGGGTTTTCTCCGTCTGGTCAGTTGTCCGTCTTCAGTGAACCTGGGCTCGAAATCCTGCGGCTCACAGGCTTGTCCCCGGGCCCGTGTCCATGAAGCGTGTGGTTACCGAGTGCTGGAGAGCATCCTGCCGGCGCTGGCGAGGCCTGGTGGCTCGGACCCCGTGCCCCTGGAGGCGGGGCTCCTGGCGGGAGCAGGTGTGCGTCACGGAGCAGTGGGTTTCCGGAAAACCTGTGTTCTGAGTTGCTCAGAGGGACCGGGAATCACAGGGTGAACTGGCCTCCAGAGGATGCTCCCTTGGGTGGTCAATGTGAGCGGATCTGAGGAGCAAGGAGAAGGATCGGAAATGCTCCCGAGCGAATTGAGTGCCTCTTCCTCCAAAGTCAATAAGTCACCAAAGGAGCTGAGACCGGTTTGGCTCAATGGATAGAGCGTCAGCTTGGGGACTGAAGGACCCGGGTTCGATTCCGGTCAAGGGCATGTACCTTGGTTGCGGGCATATCCCCAATAGGGGGTGTGCAAGAGGCAGCTGGTCTCTTGCACTCTCTCTCATCGATGTTTCTAACTCTCTATCTCTCTCCCTTCCTCTCTGTATATTTAAAAAAAAAAAAAAAGTCACCAAAGGAGATGTTCTTGGTCCGCTTGTACATTTTAAGTAGCTCTATGCTGACGAACACTGGAAGACCGTGTGATTGCTCAGACCCAGAAGCGTAAATTGGCCGGTAACACCTTAAACCCCTCACTAACCCGGGAGGCGGCACGTTTCTCCTTCCCATTTGTGCCCCGGCACCCACCAGTCCTTCGTCTTCTGACGTCTCTGTGCCCACCACGCCCCTGGTCTCCAGCTCTGCACCAAGGCGCCAGCCTGCCCCCAGCGCTGCCCGCTGAGGCCATGCCGATGGCAGCCTCTCCGAGGGCGAGGCTCTGTGCCCTCGGAGAGCTTTAGGGTCGCCTGGCTTCCAGACGGGGCCTGGTGGAGGGCAAGCAAGGCCCCCCAACATGCATGCCTGCCCTCCCTCCTCCACCAGGAGCTCATTTTTTTTTTTTTTTTTTTTTTTTATGTTTTCAAAAAGAGCATCCCCAGACAGTCTGCCCGGCATGATTGATGCCGGGGGTGTAAGCTTTTCACAGCCCTTGGCCTTTGACCTCGCCTCCCCAGGCGGCGCTGCGGCGGCGGCGGTTTCTGGCACGCCTCCTGGGGCTGCACGGGCATGTGCTGACTTTGCTGCTCGCTCCTGGGCCAGGTTTTGTAAACATCGGGAGCTGCTCCCCCGTTTAACAACGGGGAACGCTTTTCTGCCGGTTTGACTCCCGTAAGCCTTTCGCCATCGCGCTCTCTCTACCTGCCATAAAGGATGATCTGATCCGGGAGGTTAAAATAAAACCGGGGGGTGGGGGGGGGTGGGTGTAACACGGCTGGTGCTACAGAGCTCCTGGACCGGACATCCCGCCCCGCAGCGAGCTGGGCTTGGACATCGGTTAAACACAGAGAAGGGAAGGATGGCCCTCGCGCCCCGTGGACTCGCACAGGGGGCTGCCAGGAGCGCCGGTGGGGCTGCGTGCCGGCCCGGCCCTGATGGATGCCCCGGTGCCCGCCGCCTGCCTGGGCCACAGCTGGCGAGCGCCGGGCACGCAGGGACGGCGAAGTCGGCCCCGCAGCCTGGAAGCCAAGGAGGACTCTGCGCCTCTTCCTCCGCGCAGCCTTGATCTCCACGTGGTGGATTAGACACATTAGCAGTTAAAGCAGTTAATTGCTGTGCAGGGGGCCCTCTCATTGTTTGTCTCTGAATCACCCACCCACACCAGGTGTCTCAGATAATAGACTGGGAACTCTCGGCGAGGAGGATTTCCTGTCTGCAGATGTGCCGATTACAGTGCTGAGTGAAGACAGTCAGCCTGCGCTGCCGGCTCGAATTCGCCCGGCGCAGTTAACCAGTTGTGGCCTGGATCCCCGCCGTCTGGGGGAGCCGGAGCAGGACGGGCGTCGGGAGCGAACACTTCGAGCATCAGCGCTTCTAGGCGGGCGGTCAGCTTTGGTCCAGCCGAGGTTCTGTTTTAAAGCGCGGACGAAAGGGGCTTGGATCGCAGCCTGGAAAGTCACAAGCCAGAACCCCCTGCCCCTTAGCACCTCCAGCCTCTCGGGAAGATTCTGTCCTTCACTCGAGTGAAGGATGAAGGCTTTGGCGCCTCCATCGCTGAGCCATGGATGGCATGCTGCTCACTGTTGGAAGAGCCAGATGGTCATGTTCTCAGACCCACCTCGGGCGGGAGCCCCCGGGTCTGCTGGGTGAGACCCGGGGAACCAGCCCGGAAGCCATTTCCGTTTCTCAGGCTTCGTCCCAGTGGTCGTCGCCCTGTCAGGTCACTCTGAGCCCCTGAGGTGGTGTAAAAGGAGCCGGCAGGCCCTGGCGCTGAGGCACTGCGGGCCCAGCATTTCCGCTTCCATCCAGCCACCACCCTGAGGCACCCACCACGGGCCACTCTTGAGTACAGCCCACCCACACAGCACATGTCCTGGGACCTCGGCCAAGGACACAGGAGGGGTCCGGGGAGCCATGATGGGGGCCACCACGCCCAGGGAGGGGAGCACATGTGTCTAGCGTGGACTGCAGCGTGAGCTCTTCTCTCTCTCCCCGGGATCGTGTTGCAGTGCACATAGTAGCCGTCCTGGTTCAACTGTGCCCATCGGATGGCGCGGCCACACTGTGCACTCGGCTCACAGAGTCCCCGAGGAGCTTTCCTCACGGGGCCAGGCAGCAGGAGAGGGGGCAGGAGGCACCACAGAACTGAGCCCCAGGGCCGGGGGTTCATGGGTGGGAGCTCTCCGAGTCCAGCAAAAAAGGACGAGGCAGCCCAGGGCCCCGGCTCCTTGAGGCCATCGATGTTGGGGAGGAGCTTGTGGGCTCACCGGGGACGCAGCCTGGATTGGAGAAGCCAGGTCCACGGCCCGCGGGCCTGTCCTCTGGGAATGCCCGCTGCTGTGGCTGCAGGACAGCACGTGCCTGGTTGTCTCCCTCCCGGAGGGGGCTCTGCAGTGGCCTGGCTGTGGCAGTCACGTCCAGAAGACTGCACTGAGACAGATACCGCGACTCACCCAGTGCCCACCCTTCCCTCGCCCAAGGCGGAGCTGCTGGCCTTGAAGAAGGAACCACGCTGCTTCTGCTATCCTGATGCCCTTTTAGGTTCATTGCAGATGTCAAGTTTGTAATTACATCAAGAGAGACCCAGACCTGCTTGTGACTGTGCTTTGCTTTTGGAGGAAAAGAAGATGTTTATGGAGCTCCCAGGCCAGGGTGCAGCCTCAGGCGTGCCTGCCACACCGTGTGGCCGGCAGTGCGCCCGCTCCTGAAGTAGCGCCGTCGGCTGTGACCTTCACTTCCCTCCGCCCCGGCTTGCCGCGGCGGACGCCAGGAGAGGGGCAGCGGGAAGACGGTGCCCTGTGCTCCCGGGCTGGCCTCGCGCCCTCTGCGTGGGGTGAGCCACCAGCCGGGGATGGAGAGCTGTGCCAGCTCCTTGTGTCCAGGGTCCAGCCTCGGCGCCCACGGGGATCAGATGGGGGCTCTTTACCAAGTCAAATCCAGGATTTATGGTTAGAACTTAGTAGAAACCAATTAGGAAAAAAAAGGCAAGAAAAAACAAAAACAAAAACAAAAAACCCACCTTTGTGAAAGTCCTAGAGATAAACGGGCACCACACGAATGTGCACCGTCTGAGTCTGCATGCGCCGCTCGGAGCAGCCAGCCGCGGGAAATTACATCTCTCACCGTTACAGCCACAACGCTGGCCGCCACAGAGCCGCGCCTTCCTGGGGCCCTGGGACCAGGCCGCCGCTGGGCCCGAGCTGGAGGTTCCGCAGAGTCCACAGGCTGCCTGCAGGGCCAGCGTGGCTTTTTCATGCGATGCTAGTGCAGGCACACCGGCTCAGACAGGAAAGACCCACTCACGGTCTTCCAGATGGACTCTGGCCAACAGACACGTGCGCCCCAATCGGTAAGCTCTCCCCGCTTGTCCAAGGAGCCTTCCAGGTAGGAGGCTCCCTCATGATGGCCCAGGACAGTGGTCGGCAAACTCATTAGTCCGCAGAGCTAAATATTAACAGTACAATGATTGAAACTTCTTTTGAGAGCCAGATTTTTTAAACTTAAACTATATAGGTAGGTACACTGTTATTATCTTAATTAGGGTACTCCTACATCGGCCTTTGCTAAAAACTCAAGGGGCCAAAGAGCTGCATGTGGCTCGCAGGCCGCAGTTTGCCCACCAGTGGCCTAGGAGGCCCCTAGTGGGTGCTAGTGGTCACAGCAGGCAGCCCGCCTCAGGTCGCACTGAGGT